ATGTTGTTCAAATCAAGGGACTTAAAATTCCAAACTTCTTAAAAAAACAGACCGTCGTTAAAGAGGTGGACATTTCACATGGAGTACAGTTATTGTGGGTTTGAAGTTTATGAAGCAACACTTGCATAGTTTGTTTAGGATTGTGAAAGTTACTTAAATTACTGTGAATACAAGTTGTGTTTTATCTGCATGGTTTACTATCAGAAAATCAATTACTTCAATATGCTGAAGTAATATCTTTATTAGTGACCGAAACAAGGGAATGAAAATTGAATTATGTGTGCTTGAAAAGAGGATCTTCCACAGTATCTATATCATCTGCAGCTAATATACCTTTTCAAGTCATCTCATCAATACGGATGAAGATGAGTTCGGAGAGAAAGAGCTTGGTTCCGGTAGTTGATTCTAGCGGCGACGTTACGCGTTCGATTCAACGGTGGAGACAATGTGTTTGTACGACACACCTTCCGTGGCTTTCAAGGCGATGTTGAAAGAAAAAGAGCTTTGTGAGGACCGTCCGGTTAAGAGAGACCTCCATAGATTCTCCATGGAGAAACAGTTTGACCATGTGGTTGAGACGCAAGAAGCAACCGTAAGTGTTTGAAGCTCCATGTAAAGGACCAAAGAAGCATAAAACCTGCCAAGACGGAGGAGGAGGAAGCGCCTCCATGAAAAAATCAAGACACCTCTAATGCTAAACTCAAATGTGTATAACAACTAAACAAACATCTTTACTTTATTTTCTGAACTTTTATTCTTCTTGGTCGAAAAATTTCCTCAACTATTACTTGAATATATTCATTATATATATTACCAGTGCATGTAGCATTCTCAACATCAATTTTCAGTAGTCTAATCTACTTATATATGATAACAACACAATATATTATATTTATCAAACTATGATATTAAACCAACAACAACCAAAATACAAATAATAAAATAGCCCGCAGCGTAGCGCGTGTATTCATCTACTAATGATAAAAGAACTTTGGGAGTGGAGGGATGCCTAGAAAAAAGGGATAATAAGCTTTAAAAAAAGGGAAAATGTCCGAAAATGTCACATTGGCAGTTTATAATTACACAAAATGTCACATTGTAGTTTCTAATTACAAAAATACCACATTGACAATATTTGGACGAAAATGTCCCTGCTTTATCTTTGTCCGAGTTGCATTTAATGTACCTGATTTATGTCATTCATGCATTAATATGGATTTGACTTCTTAATAAGGGATGTACATACACTATCAAAGACACAAATTCATGTAAATATGCGTAAACTATCATGTACACAAAGTCATATAAATCTGCGTCATCCGTCATGTACACTAAGTGCACTAACCTCGTACATCTCGAACTGATTGTACATGAATAGTAAATGATATTCATGTGCACGTATACGTACACTCAATGATTCCATAGTTACAGTATACGTGCATGCGTTGAAATAATAGGGGTGTACGTATGCGTATACCTTATAGTTGCGATTATAGATGTACGTCTATGTGTAGTTTTACTGAGTGTACATGAATGATGACATCAACCAAAGCTTGGTGTACATCATCGGAAACTATGTGTATATCAGCGGTACATGGACGTACATCATCGGTGTACGTCAATTAATGGATTCGTCTACATCAATTAGATATTCGATGTACGTCAATTAACGGATTCGTCTACATCAATTAGATATTCGATGTACAAGAGTTTTGTGTACATGTGATTTTACTAAATATACTTGACTGGTAATGCATGTGTATATAATTTCGTGTACTGTGAATTTAGTTGACTGTACGTGATATTTGTGTATGTACGTGTCTAACGTACATGACGAAAACTGTTGTTTTCCGTATATACTTAGAGGGTATTTTCGGGATAATTGTGTGTAAGTGACATTTTTTAGTGAGCAGTTTGGTCATGTGATATTTTTGAGATTAAAACTCATTTTTGTAAATAACCCCTAAAAAAATATAAATGGACATTATCATCCTTTGAAGAGATTTGAAGACCAAATTAAGTGGTTGCAAAATAAGTTTCATCTACTTTATATGATGAGCTTAAGAAAATATAAACCAAAATAAGGAGATTACGAGATAAATAAGATTTAAATAAAATTATTATTAAACAGATGAACAGTTTGTCCATTTATATTATTTGTATGGTCGCAATTCGCAAAGAAATTGTTTTTAAGAAAATCTAACTTGTAGTATATTATTATAATAGTTTCTCAAAAAAAAATGTATAATAGTCAAGCAAAATAATAAATGAGATTACGAGATGACGCAAGATTATTTCATTATTAAGAAGCAGACGAACAAATACATAATATCCGGCGCATTAGTTGTTGTTACTATTTTTTTTGCATTAATCCCAATACTATTAATTCGAGATTTGCAGTAACACATGCGCAAAAGTGGTTGGGCTCTGTCCGGCCCACAATAGCCTCCCGGGCTACCTGACAACTTGCAGGCTCTGTCGCAATCTTTGTCAGTGAAGTTGGGATTGCAATCGAGATATGGAGAGTCGGCCAATCCATTCCAAATTAATAAACAATCCTTTTTACATTATAGTTTAACTAAAAGTAGACAGAGAGATTCAACGTATGCAACAGAATCTTRTGATTTAAAATCCAAATTAACGAAATAAGCATTTCAATAGATTTTTTGACCAAAAATAAAATAAAATAGATCTTTGTTTACCATGTTGTTTAAGAATCGGTGGTAAAACATACTTTGAACTCTTTTGATTCTACAAACTATGATACTAAAGGTTCC